AATACTCAGTAACCTTTTTTGTTTGTTTGAATAGCGTTGACGATTTGCTTCCTAATCAGAACAACAAGGTCATGTTTGCAAATACTGTCAAGTCTGACGGATTTTCAGTTGATTTTGTATTCAACAAAAGGACAACAAAAGATACCTCTTTAATAGCAAACATTGATTTAAAGCTTGAAGATTTTGGCTTGGAAGAAGCAAAGCAAGCCTACCAGCCCATGTTTCTAGATCCTGGGAGAAAAAGCGTGTTCACTGCTGCAATTGGTTTAGATACAGCCAACCATCAAATAAGACGCTGCTCAACAGCAGAGTATTATCACAGGACCGGATCAACAAAGTACATTAAAAAGCTAGAAAGGTTTAAGGCTCAAAAAGGCATAAAAACAATTGAGACTAATATATCCTCTCCTAAAACATCACAATGCGCTGCTTACCTCCTCTATATTGAGTACATTCTTACCCATGTTGGTGTCTTATTTACATTTTATGATTACAAAACAGCAAAAGATCGTTTTTACTTGTATCAATGCAGACAAAGAGCGGCAGAAGAAATGGTAAACATGCTTGTACATGGAGGCGCCAAGTATAATAAGAATAAAAGAAAGAAGAGAAACAGGAAGAAAAAAGAAGCAAGAAGAGGCAAAAACAGACGGCAAATCCAAAAGAAAAAGAGAAACAAATTACCAAAAACAGGTATGTAATCAATTTTAGCTTTGACAATCAAATCATTAAATTGTTGTTTTAAAGAAGCCAAAAGTGGAAGCCCGCAAAGTTCCAAACGGAAAGGGAGAAAGTGCCCCTTGTAGTCTTTGGTGCGGGAATGTTTGGCAAAGACTCGATAAAGCTGAATGGAAACAGATGTGGTGCCACTGGTGTTTTTTGGCGAGCGCTAAAAAGAAGAGAGACAGCTGGAGATCTCATCGCCGTTACAATTGATGAATACAAGACTTCCAAAGTTTGCAATGCGTGTAATAATGATCCCCTCACGAGTATGTCCGGCTTGAAAGGCTGTAGTGTTCAGATCTGCAGTATCTGCAAGACACTATGGCAACGAGATATCAACGCGTGCAAGAATATGCTGTCCATTCCCCTTTCGATTTGGGATGGAAGAGGTCGACCTTTCCAGCAAAGCAGAAATTAATTGTTTTTTAGTCGCCGTAATGAACACGGTTTCCCTTTTGGGATAAAGATTATTACTAGTAGCCAGTAGTTGAAAATACTGTTTTATTAAAAATAAATTTCAGAAAGAGGATAAAATTATGACGTGTATGAAAAAATAATTGTGGGTCGTTCCTTCAGTATCTTCTAAAATTCGCTTGCTTATCATTTGTCCTTGCCGTCTTCTGCTAGCTGGCTTTAAGTAATACTTCTCAAACGTGTCTGCATTTAAACTCCAATTTCCATGGATCTTTACTTCTTGAATGGAAGCACTTTGCTGTACTGCGTATGTGCTTGCTGTTGCTCTGATCGAATGTGCTGTAAACTTATCAGAGCCGATACCCGCGGTGGTTACGCTTTTGCTGATCCATTGAGCCACTGTCTTGTCCTTGACTGAAGAACTTTTCATCCTCAATATAGGTGAGGAACAAGGTGTGATTGCTAGGTAGATGAGTTCTTCTGCCCTTAGTACATTCAACAAAATACCAAAGAGTCTCCACCGGGCAAACGATTTCCTCGTCAATGACTCCGAACTTAGATTGTTTTGGAGTGATTTCCTTGGGGTTCCTGGCTAACAGCGTGACATCAACTACTTTCTGCTCATTGTCCATCCCAAATTGGACACCCTCATATTGTAATCTGCCTAGGTCAGATCTTGGTCGTCACATGGTCGCCATAGCTAAAAGTAAAACTGTCTTTTCTTGTAACCTCTTTAGTCTAAGGCCCTTCATTGGTCCCAAGATCTTATCACGTCGATTATAGGTGTCAGACTGTACACCTCCTTCATATAGTTGGGGAGCTTTGAGTCGATTCTCCTTTTTGCCTGGAAAAACTGTTGAATCCTTTCATGAGATGCTAAGGGTGGTTTGCCGGAATGTAATGCTCGAAATACAGATGCTATTGCTGATCTAATAGCGTTGAGATACTGATATGAAAACCGTTTGTTCTGAACTAGGTACTTTACTACTATGCCAGGATTGTATGCGGTAGGATCTATTCTTGGTACTTGTGTTACACACCACTCTATCCATTTTCTCCATTGAATATCATAGTTGTTGTGCTTACTGATCTTGTTCGAATGCGATAGAAAGTCATTTACATTACCTGACATCCTTTCCTTTTTCTGTTGATGTGCCCTGATAATCTCCAAGCGGTTAAACACCAAGTCTTGTTGATCGACATCTTGATCGGGCCGTCTAAGCATTGACGAAGCATCATTGGCCACCAGAACTGTGTCTGCCAAGCTGGGGCCACCATCATCGCCGTCCTCACCTTGTCTTCTTGTAGTTTCCACAATACCTGTGGAATCAACTTCCTTGGAGGGCGCAAGTAGAGGCCCTTCTGAGGCCACCTCTGTTTGAAGGCGTCGATAGCCTGGGCAGATGGATCGGGCATTCGGCTCCAGTAACGTGATAGGCGGGTGTTTTCCCTTGACGTAAAGGTATCCAGGTCCATCTTCCATCTCTGCTGAAGCATTTTGAAAAAGCGTCTCGGCAGGGCCCATTCGTAAAGAGGCTTCTGTCGTCTGCTTAAGCTGTCCGCTTCTACGTTTTGTACTCCTGGCACGTGAAAGCACCTTACCTAAAGATGGTGCTCTGTTATAAACTACTGTGTCTCCAACATCAATGATTGTAGCAAGGCTGATGCTGTCTCGCCCGGCTTCTTTGCATGCTTTAGAGCGATCATGTTGTCGATGTAAATATGAAATAGCTCGCCTTGGTTTCTTCCTGCGTGCATTTGAATCGCAAACAGAACTGTCTTCAACCCCTTTGCATTGATTGAAGTTTCTCTTTCTTCCTGGGACCAGAATCCGTTTGTTCGTATTTGGTTTGATGCTACTCCCCAACCTGTGTCTGAGGCGACCACATATATCTCCACTTTCGGTTCTTTGTCGTTCTGTGTTGACCGTATGAGCAGACCGTTCTTTAATGTTACCTTCTCTATTCACCAGTTCAACTCGTTCCATGCTTGTGTCAATGTCTTACAGCTCTTCTCCCAGTTGTATCCTTGAATCTTCAATGATCGGGCCAGATCTCTCTGCAGGGACCGTAATCTGAGTAGTGCTTCTCCCATTGCCGGTATCATAGCTGTGATCTTTCCCAATAAGCTTACTATCCATTTGCACGAGAATTTCCTGGTTGTATGTTTCAGTTGACGAACTCGGTTCACTAGTTTGGAAATCTTCTTTAGTGGCACACAAATTTCTATCTTGCGCCTATTGAACGCAAATCCGAGGAAATCCTGCGATTGCTTAGGTTCCAAGTCGTTCTTCTTGTAGTTGATGATAAATCCTAGTTGCATCAAATGGTTGAGTACCGCTTGCACATCGGTATTCATCTCTTCCTTCGATTTTGCTAATAAACAAACATCGTCCAGGTAATATATTACTCGAATACCCTTGGCTCGGATGGCTTCCATTGCAAAGCGCATTAGCTTTGAAAACACTCTTGGGGCTACACCCAATCCAAATGCCAGAGACCGATATCTGTATACAATACCTTGGTGCTTGAAAGAAAGATATTTCCTGGACTCGTTGTGAATGAGCACTACCACATACGCATCCTTCAGGTCTATCTTGCAAATGAAGTCATTCTCCTCTATCAATTCCCTCAGTACTGGAATGCCCTTCATCTTGAAATGTTGGCATTGAACAAACTGGTTGATCTTCTGACAATCTAATATCGGTCGAACCTTGGTGTCCTCCTGAACTGTGAACAAGTTTGAGAGAAAACGAGTGTCCTGGTTTGGCGATCGTTCTATAATTTGAGAGTTGATAAATGACTTCACTGCCGTATTGACTGCCTCCTGTTCGTTGTTGGACATCCTGAACGTCTTTTCCCTCCAGGGTATGGGTTGTTTGCTGAACTGGATTCGATATCCCTCCTTGATAACGGATAAAGGCCAATTGTGTTTGATTAGCCTTTTCCAATTTTGTTGGAACACCTGAAGTCTTCCACCTGGCGGGATGCCATCTTCTGGTATAGAATAATGAGCATCTATTTTTGGATCGTTTTTTAAATTTTCTAATGTTTTTAGTCTTTTTTCTTTTATACTGATTCGCCTTGTTTAAGTGAAGTTTTGGGTGAGTGCTTGCCTCGCTGTTCCTGGTTGTTTTCCGTTGGTTTTGGTTTGGGTCTGAACTTGCCCTTCCCGAAAAAAAACTTTTTCCACTACCCTTGTTCTTGGAGAATCCACCATGTTGATGTCCTCGTTGATGGTAGCTTCCTTGTTGTTTACGCATGATTGAGTTTTCAAATCTAGTTCTTTGAATCTTCTCAATAGTGTCAGTGTCGAAGAAGTAGTCCTTGTCTTCGTCATCGTCATCTTCTTCCAGGTACTTGAGATTGTCTTGCATCTTTGTCCAATTCTTTGCCTGTGGCCCAGCAGTATACTGATAAGCGTCGAGCCTTTTCCAAGATGATTTTCATGGTGTCTTCGTCACATCCGTTCTCCAGGGTTTATTGGATGTCTGAGAAAAGCTCTGTTGCTCCTCGAGCTGCTGTCCTGAGCCTGTCGGCTCCCTTACTGATCGCATTGATGTGTTGCACTGCATCAACGTTGTATTTCTTGAATTCTGGAAGGTAAATTCGGTTGACCGTTCCACTCTTTGTCCAGAAATCTCCTTCATATTTGCTGGTATTCCTGGCATATTGTCTAAGCTTGTTCTTGAGTTGACTTGGGGGAGCTTGTTCCATCTCCAAGCGAACTTCGTTTAGAAGGCTTCTCGGCTCGTCTTTGTCGTCTTGAACTTGTTGTCGTTTGAGTAATCCTCTGAGCTCTTGCAATTCATTGATTTCTTCTAGAGATAATCCATTTGACATTTTGTTACACCACAATGCGCGGCTTTGAAAGGTATAAGGGACTTAGAATGTAGAAAAATTATTTTTTATATAATTATGACAATAAAAGCGCGGTCCGAAGGCCTATAACCACATCCTCCGTCTTCGTTTCGCCAACTAGGCCATTGTGGAAGGAACGACCCACAATCAACATTTTTTCTCTTCTTTACGAGTGACTGCTCACTGAGTGGATTGCTATCTGGATATCTTTTGTATCCTAAAGGATCACTGCGGATTCTGTTAAGGGAAACAAGAACTGGCTTATTTTCCTTGATATTCCAACGTCCAAGTCTTCAATTTTTTTTTTTTTTACTTTTTTATATTTTCTTCCGTGTAGTCGACATAAAAAGCCATGCAAATAGCTTGATCTCTAGTATATTCCATTTCTTATGTTTAAAGTAGTCAATTAAAAGTAGATACAAGTCGGAGAATAGATAGATGAAAGATGGATAAAATATGGACACTTCTGAGTATTATTTTGGTTGTAAACTCGATTTTCGCGGCAGAATAATCTAAGCAGTAGCTTTCTCTTTTCCTTATTTAAAATGGTCTACTTATGTTGTGCAGGTGAAGTTCCGGTAATTTGGAAGAAGTTGTAGAATTTCTAGATGGAGCTCATCTGGCACATGGGTAGAAAATGGCAAAGAAAAGAGATTCTAGACGTGGCACTTGGGATGCATTGGGTGAGTCATGACGGTGAAAAAAATGGGAAAGTCGAATGTCACGGCGGAGCCAGCGTCCAGGATTCTCTATTGTTTATGCTAGCCATTTGAAATTTTGGAAGCTATTACTTTTTATGTTTTAGATTATCTGCCCTGATAGAATTATCAACCAGTGTTACAACCAAAATAAGTTTAAATTAATTGAGATATGTCTGATATGTTCAAGCCGATTACAGTCTCTTCCAACAAAAGAAACTGAACTAGTTGGCGCAGTAAGATTACTTTGATGGATCAAGATAGAATGTCTTATGCTGTTCGCGACTCCTTCTTGTAAAAGTAATTGTATTAATAATACTTGACTTCTTTTGATAACTTTGATCACTTGTAAATGGTATAAAAGGATTAAAATTTCAATAAAGAGAACAACAAGTTTGAACCGAACGAAAAGGGTTTTAAATAAAAAGCTAAGCTTTCTAATCGAACAGCTTATCGTAATACTTCTCCTGAAGTTAATCGATACTTATATCCGCAAGTTTGAAGTGCTTCATTTAATAAGAACCACCACACAGTACATCGTCATTTCTCCCTACTAGTACCCTTAATATGAGCCAATTAAATTCTAGCAAAGATGGATGAAATTAGCCTGTAAAGCAGTGTGTGCTCATATAGATGGGTAAAAGATGAATAAAACTGTGGTGATTCAGCTATTCTATTGCCATATAAATGCACATATATCTGTATCTAAGTAGTTTAATAACTATTAATTTGTCTATGTAGTATGTACGTTATTAAGATTAAAGTTAATCATGTCAATAATAAATACAGTTTGTACTAGGGAGCAGTCAAGATTAGTTATAATGGTATGGTACTGATTATTTGATGATTTGATAAAAATATGTGAATCTCGACCATGTCCTGAGCACCCAACGCAGCAGCTATCTAAAAATCACGCTATTAGTTACCTTGATATGCATCGACGTCTGTTCATGCCTGAAACAATACGAGATCCATTGTCATTCCTTCTGAATATGCTTCCTTTACGTCCTTCGGTTCCCCCAAACCTAGCCCTAACCTGGTCTCAACGATGGCCGATTATATGCTCCCTACTACATGAATTAGATTAGCTACACCATAACAAATTGATCTCTGCTAAGCATCCCCATGGTCAAAAGCTTCTTGTATGGTTAAAGCAATTCATTTAACTTTTCATCGATAACCCTACTCATTAATTTCCGTTTACATTTTTTACCCTTGTATCCATAAGGGGTTTTTTTTTCGCTAATGTACACTTCCAAACGGATTGAACGGGTCCGAGCGGACGTTTATTTTATTTTTGCGCTCATTTGGACCATCAATAAAATACCATGTTTGAACAAAATATGTGTGATGATTTAAGCAGCAGTATGGTTCTTTCTACTGTTTTGGACTAATGAAAACAGACCCTGCATTTCCTGCTCATTAAATTCTTTTTGTTATATTTTCAACTATTAACCAAGTCCACAAACTGCCCTTTGGAATAGAAAAAAAAAAACCGACTTTTGGAAAAATTAAAACCGCCCTTTGGCGTTGGAACAACTGTAAAATCAAAATGGAAAGCTTTTTTCGACTTCCACAACTCTCGCATACTTTTTACCTTATTTGTAAAGTGAATTCTGCATTGATACATCAAAGCAATTCAACAGAATTTCCATATAATAAACCAACACCTATTATGACTACAATCAGCAGAGGTCGCAAAGTCACTAAGAACATACTTACTGTTGAACAAAATTTGTCGTTTAACTGAGAGATTTGATTCACTAAGACGACAGATTGTATGCCGTAACTGTAAAGAGACAAGCTCTTTTCACCGCAACGGTAATACACCTGGCAATCCTCCTCAACCTACCTTTATCTGCAAATCCTGTGGTAAAGCCTATAACGCACCTACCGTGGTTGAGATTGTTGGTCTTATTTCTACAGAAACGACCCCTCACTCTTCGGATCACAACGCTATAGAAATTTCTAGATATGTGGACGAACAACCCGACAATGTCAGTGATGGAGCTTTAGACATCGCTCAGTTACAAGCAACCATTCAACAATTATATACTGAATTGAAACAAACTAAGATTGAACTTCAGCAAGCACATGCAGAATTGTTGGTCATGCCTACAACAATCCTTGTTGGCTCCGCTCCGTCATTCAATGTGGTACAGGCTCCAAGAGCCGCGCTTTATTTTCCCTTTTTTAATAAAATAATAACTAAATAATCCCCTTTCTTCTTTATACCTTCAAAAGCCGCGCATTCGTGGATCAAATTATGGAGAATGTCAACACATCTTTATCAGAATTCAGCATGGAAGAACTCTATCAATAGTTCTCTCGAAGAATGCAAACCAAACAAGAACAAAGATCGAATGGAGTACCAATACCGGTGGAAATCCTTACCGAATTGGAGAACAACACAGAGATACAACTTCAAGATAATATTAAA